TGACTTGGGGTCCAAGTCTTCAACTGCCTATAGGGCTTATGCATTCATTCACCCATTCAGCAAACCTCTACTGATTACTTCTTTCATCTGGCCCTTGGCAGAGCTGTGGGTATGCAGGTGAATCAGGTAATAGCCCTGAAACCACAACTCACCATCAAAGGGCCTAAGTGACTAGGCTCTGATTGTGGTGGGACTGTGATGTGACCGGTGCTGTGAGAGCTGGCTGCATTTGCTGAGGCAAGAGAGAATGGAGGGTGACAAGGGAGCAGATTTGACTGGGACTTAGATACATACTGAGGCTTCCTGCTGGCCCCACCCAGGAGATGGGAACAGTCTGGGTGTGAAGGTGGTGGCAGTGGTGGCATCTGATTGCAGCATGGACATCCATATCAGCTTCTACTGGACCCCTCCCTGCCATGCTTGGGGAAGAGGAAGTGCTGACAGCTCTGTGGCAAGGGTTGGCAGCAACCTGGGGGTCCTCCACTGAACCCTCACTTCTCATCTGTCAGGGCAGCTGCCCCAGGGATGCTGTAAGGTAGAGAGCCTCTAGGTCCCAAATACCTGGCCAGGAGTTCTCAGGAAGGTAGACCTCAGAGTCAGAGAATCAAAGGGATCATGCAGTTCATTTCTCCCTCTTGCCTCCCATTTTATAGATGGGAAACCGAAGCCCAGAGAGGTGAAGTGACTTGGCCAAGGTTACACAGGAGTCGGTGGTAGAGCTGGGACTGGAACCCCAAGGTCAGCTGCCACTTTACCTGCTACATAAGGTGCCTGCTCCTAGCCTGCCCTCTGAAGGAGAACAGGTCATTCATTTTCCCCTGGCTCCTCCCAACTGCCCCCCTGTCCCGGCTTTGTTATAGGGAGAAGAGAGAAGGAGCTTGGGAAAACCTGCAGCACAGGCCTGGAGCTTGGGCCTGAATTCAGTCCAGTTCTGCCATCTTCTGGCTGAGTGACCTTGGTCATATCACTTCTCAGAGCCTTTCTCCATTACCATCAAAATGGGGGTGACGATGCCAAACTCAGAGGACTGTTGAGGAGTCAGAATGCCTATGGAGGTGCTTTGAAGGCCTCAAAGCTTCATGGGCCTCTTAGGCATCACACCTTTCCCCCAGCCCTGCAGGGAGGGAGCCCACAGAATGGCTAGAGCAGAGATTTGCTCTTCCTCCCACTCGGCAAAACTTTCTGAGTACCTGCTCTGAACTAGGACTTGGCAGGGCACTGGGGCCCAGACATGGTTTGACCCAGGCCAGCCCTTACAGATCTCCCAGTCTGATGGGAGAATGGACTTGCCATCAACAGTTAGTACAAGGTGGAGACTGTGGGAACCCAGAGAGAGGAGCCCACAAAGGGCTTCCTGGAAGATGAGATCCCCTATCTGGGTTTTGATGGATGGTTAGAAGATCACCAGGTAGGCAATGCAGGGAGAGACCTAGACAGAAGGAGCAGTGAGTTGATATTTCATAGGTCACAGAGGGCTTCCACTGGGGCCTGTGATTTAGCCTTCATAGACAGGCCAGCTCCCAGGGCTGGGCTGTGTGTCCAGCCAGGTTGGGATTATCTGGCCAGTAGGCAGCTGAGAAGGCCCAGGCCTGATGGAGAAGAGAGAGTTCCAGCTCTCTTTTTGCCCTCTCTCTCCAGGCAGCCCCTCACTCTAACTCTCACAGAAGCACCAATCCTTATTCCTCAGTAGGCTTTGTGAGCATTTCCCACTTGGTTGGCAGAGCAGGGCTGTAGGCAGGAGTTCAGTCTGGACATGGCAAGATGAGAACAGAATGGGCAGTATGGGGAAAGCCTTTGGCTGGATTTGCTGTAGCATTTGAGAGAGTCACTTGGGCCCTTAGTTTCCAGGCCCTCAGTTTCATTTGGTATAATGTGGTGAGGGTTCAACAAGATGGTTTACAGTTCCTGCACTCTGACCTTTTCTGATTGTAAGAGACCTAACATGTTTAGCAGAAGGATTTAGATTAGACACAAGGAAGGATTTTTAGGTCTTCTTGTTTGTTGGAGATATGGAGATATTCAATTGGAGGATGTGTTACTGATGGGGAATTTCTACTCTCTGCCCCTAAGCAGGGGGGCTACCATATGTCACAGTTAGTTGGCCCTGATCCAAAGAGAGGAGGCTGGACAAGATGACTCCCAAGGAGCCCTTCCTTCAGGACTCCTCAAGCTATGACCTTGAGGTCTGGTCTGCTTTAGGAAGCAGTCAATCATGAGATGTCAGAGTGACCACCAGGCTATCTTCTCTTCATTGCCCTTTGTTCATGCCCAGTGGGAGGCAGCAGCCTGCAGCACCTTCCACACTCTATCCCTCCCCCACCCTCACTTGCTCTATCTAAGACTTTGGACTGATATTTCTCAAACTTTAGTCACTTGGAGATCTTGTTAAAATGCAGATTTTAATAAAATGTAGACCCAAGCTGGGGCCCAAGATCCCGCCTTTCTGATCAGCTTCCCGATGACACTGATGCTACTGTTCTAGACTTTCCTAGAATAGGAAGGTTCTAGAGTACATTCTGTCCTCTCTTCAGTCAAGGGACCTAGCCTGCCACAAACCCAGAGCAGAGACTCAGCTTCCCCTTAGCCCATCCCCTAGTGGCCATGGCTTGTGCTCACTTTGCTTACGTCACCCTACACAGCTCAGGAGTTGGGCTGCCCCTTGGACCTGGAGCCCAGGTGTGTGCTGGGCCTCACTCACATCCTCACCCAGGAGCACACATTCTCCCTCACGCAGGCTTTTCCCCACTGTTGGACAGGTTTACCAGGCCCTGAACCTGATCCACTCTTGAACCTGTTGCGTCCCACTGGCAGAATCCTTTGCATTCAGTAGCTGCTGTGGGGAACTGGGAGGAACCCAGAGCAGGGGCAAGAATTCTGGATTCTAGCTATAGTTCTACAGCCTATACTTGAGCAACCCTGGGCCAGTCAGTGCTCCCATCTGCACCTCAGTCTCTCTGCTGTCAAATTAGGCTGTGCTAGGAGCTCTGGTAGCATAGTGCCTAAGGCACTTGACTGCTAACCAGAAGGCTAGCGGTTCAAACCCACCAGCCACTCCTCGGAAGGAAGGTTGGGCATTCCTACTTCCGTAGTGATACTGCCTTGGAAGCCCAAGGAGGGGTCGCTATGAGTCGGGGCCGACTCGATGGCAAATAACAACAACATAACAACAACAGATGACTCCAGTGGAAGAAAGATGGGGCAGTCTACTTCCGCAGTGATCCTGCCTCGGAAACCCAAGGAGGGGTCACTATGAGTCGGGTCCGACTCCACGGCACATAACAACAACAACAAGAGATGACTCCAGGATGGATATTTGGACAAGTTTGGAGGGTGAGAAGAATCTGTGATGGTAGGATTTCTATAGAGAGGATGAAGGAGAAATTATGAGCTAAATGTCTTGAATGCCTCTGTAGCTTAGTCTCTTTATCTGCTTTTGTGAGTTCACTAGCATCACCTCCATCTCAGTTATGAATATGGAACATTTGATGCTACTCAGCACTATGTGCGGTACACTAAGGATTTCACAGTGAGCCCTAATGGACTTGTCTGGGGTCACAGAGTAAGTAGATCCAAGATCTGAATAGGTGTTTGATTCATCCTACTGTACCAAGCCCATCACTCTGATCCATCAGACCTGGGTAAAGGGAACAGGCTGATATTTCCATCTTGAAACCTGACATTTCCTATGGGCCTTCTAAAAACCAAAGGCGTTGTTAACTTTGAGCTGAAGAGGAGTTTGTCTCTTTTTCAACTCTACTGTGACCTTACTTCTCTACAGATTTTGGAGATATGCAAAGGCTTGAATGTAAGCCCCTTCCCCTTCTACTCCCAGAAGGTAGGCCAGGGTGAGAGGTCATGAAACTCTCAAGGATAAGATTGTGGCTAACTCATTTGTGCTGTAGGCCCAGAACAGATATTCTGATGGACAGAGTAGATGGACAGAGTAGATGTGAAGGGAAGTTTAATCAGCATATAGTAGGCTCTGTGAAGATGTGTTGAGTAAAGGGCATGGCGTTGGGCCTCAGCAAAAGCAGGGAGATTGAAGTGGCCCACTCCTTTGATATAGCTACCTCTTTCAGAACTGTTAGCCTTCCTTGTCCCATGGCCCATTAGTTGTTGAATCTAGGGCATCTACCTGTGGAACACAGCCACAGAGCCAATGAAATGAGCACATCTTGTCCTAACTCCCAGGCTTGACATTTCCTTGGTGGAAAACTTAATTCTAGCCCTTGGTATCTTCCAGGCTGCCTGAAGCTCACTGACTACTGGGCCCTTTGGGCAAAGAAAGGCTTCTACCTTTCTCTTTTCCAGCTCCTAAGCTTGTGGCACTGAGATGAAGCTGACAGTGTAAATTCCTCTGAAGGCCTGTGTTTATGTCTGGTGGTAATGGTCATGGTGGTATTGATGTTATTGTGGGATGGGGGTAAAGGGACTCATGTACTGGGGAATGGTGTTAGCCCTGGAGATAAGAGGGGTAGGGAAGGGATTAGGGATGCTCAAAGTACACTTGGAGGGGAAAGAAAACAACATTGCAAATTGGATGTTGAACCTGTGTCCTTGGCCTCACAGACACAGATAGCAAAGATCAAATATTTGTACTAGATCCAGATAAAGAATAAGGACTGGAGTTTGGTTGGAGCTGGGGAGAAGAGGGAAGGAAGAGAACTGGCAATTATAGAGAGTCTCCCCAAGGCCCAGCCCCAGGGCTAGATTCTTCAGATATGGCTTTTGGTCTGCAGAATGACCCTATGAGGGAGTAGACTATTTCAGTTGTGTACATACAGAAACTGGGGCACAGCGAAGCATGTGAACAGCTCAGAGTTAACAAAGCTATTGTTATTGTGACAAGGCCCAGGATTGAACTTGGGTCTGGCTGAATCTGTGGTCCCTGCTCCTCTCACATCTAGGAAGGTGCTTGTGGGTGGTGGGTTGGGGTAGGGACTCTGAGGCTCGAGGGAAGGGTAGCCTCAGGCTGACATGTCCCCTCTGCCGTAGGCACTGGCTCCAGCATCCTCTCAGCCCTCCAGGACATCTTCTCCATCACCTGGCTCAATAGATCCAAGGTGGAAAAGCAACTACAAATCATCTCAGTGCTGCAATGGGTCCTATCCTTCCTTGTGCTGGGTAAGCTGGGGTTTATAAGGTGGGTGGGCAGACAAACAGGGTCACCTCCCCAGTGGAAGTTAGAGCAGGAGATCTTCTCTGAAGGGGTGAGCAGTGATGGCCACAGGCAGCCGCTAAAGAATACCTTGCCACTTAATGCACCACTGTTTGGGTCCTAGATCAAGTGCTATACCCCTAGCCATGCATGAGGACTCAGTGTGATTCAATGAAAGGTAGTGATATGGTTCCCATTTTATAGATGGGAAACTCAAATCCCAGAGATGGTAGATAACTTGACCAAAGTCATGCGTATTTATATCCAGGTCTGTAGGACCCCTAAAGCCTGTGCTTTCCTCACAGTGCCACCCTGTCTCCCAACCAGGGGTTTGAACCAGTTCAGATTGGTTCAGTCATGGTTAACAAAGCAAAATCAGAACAGACATAAATTTTTAAAATTTGAGTGACATGGAATGATAACTGGAACAGGAATAATTACAAGTCAAAACCCTGAAATAGGCTATTCAGAAGGGGCATAGTGAGCCCTTTCAGAAGCCTAATGTAAGATGTTGGATTACTGCAGGACTGTGGAGAGTAATCCACCTTCACAGCTGTGCAGCCAACCACTATCTTTCAGCTGGGCACCATAGTTTTCTACTCTGCAGGTCACGAAATTTGGTTGCTATGCAACACCATGCTGCCCTTGTTTTCTAAGAGGGAGGTTAAGTTTCTAGCAGGGCATCAACCATGATTTTTCATTTTCTGGTTATCATTCCAGTTTACCTACATTTTACAAATTCAGGTCCGTTTTAGTTTTGCTTCATTAGCGTAACTGAACCGTGAAGAACCGGTTTGAAGCCCTGCACCCAATGAATAGTTTCCAAAAGTCATATTGTTTTCCCTTAGGGAGATGTGGTATTGGGTTTGAGTCGTGATTACCACAATTAAGTCTGTGACCTTACACAGGTCACTGACTTCTCTGTTAGTTTCTGCATTTGGAATGTCAGGAAAATCTGCCTGCCTTACATGGCTCTTGGGCAATTGGAGATAAGGATGAGATCACTTAGCACATGGCCTGGGCAAGGTAGGCACCCACTGTATGGGAACTGTTGTTGGGAAGTACCCTTCAGCCTCAGCCCCACCCATCACCCACCCACTGCTGGCCACAGTTCCCAGCTGCTTGCCTTGGCCAGTTTAATATTTACTCCTTTCTGTCTTTCAGCACTTCCCATGTCAGTGCTTTGATTGTTCCTTCTTCAAGACTGTGTAGGTGGCCATCTAGGTCAGGGTCAGGACATTGTGGATTGTCTGGAAGGAGAGTAGAAGGCCACCCCTGCTCTCCTAGAAACCTCTTCTCTCTTCCACAGGCCCCTGTGTCCTCAGCATAAAAAGTAACTTCCCTAGCACATCAGGGCAGACACACCTACTGCAAAGCATCATAGAATACATTCTAGAACCTATGAGTGAGTCTCTTTGGGCTACCATTCTTCAGGACTCTCTAGGCTAATTGGAGACTATCAGAAGTTACAAAGTCTGTGTGGAGCAATCATCTTTCCAGAAGGAATGGAGGGCTCTGATACCACACATCCAGGGCAGCTGCCCTTCCTTTCTTTGAAGGCAGAGGAGTGGGACAGGGGTGCTACTTGTTATGCCCCCACAATATACCATGCACTTCACATGTCTTTTCCTAAATCCCCACTTCACAGGTGAGGAAATGGAAACTCACAGAGGTTCCATGACAACCAGATACTATGATGTTCACTAAGTGGAAGAGCAGGGGTGTAAGCAGAAGCCCAGTGTGTGAGCTTTATCAGGGAGCCCTGGATTAGTGAACCTGGTCTGACACAGCCAGGCTGTAACCCTAGGCCCAAGAGTGGGCTTTAGGGGGTCCATGAGTCCCTAAAATTAATGCAAACACATATGTCAGAGTGTATATGCATTTTTCTGGGGGAGAAGGGCCATTGCTGTCTCAGATAGAGTCTTCTAGGGACATATGGCCTCACAAAGATAAACACTGGTCTGAGGAACAAACTGAAGTGGCTGCCTCAGGGCTCAAACCCCCAACTTTGCCTGTATTCAGCCACTTATTTAGAATCCTGGACTGGGGAGCACAGTGTTTAGATGGGAAGCAGGGGAAGGAAATGCAGAGCCTTGCCCAAGCTCACATGAGAGGAGGTAGTAGGCCCAGGACAAGAACTCAGGGACTTCAGCCTCCCAGATTCCTGCCTAGTCTGCTACACCAACATTCTTAGTTTCCAGTTACACCCTGAAAGCTACCACCATCCCTATCTTGGTGGGTTACGGTTTGGCAGCTGGTAGAATCCCAGCCCTCGCAGTGGGGACTGGCTCTGGGCTGTAGGTTAATAACCGATCAGGCCCAACCACAGCCCCAAAACTGGCCCAGCATCTTCCCAAAGCCCTCATGTAGGTGGGAACTAGGCCTGGGTGGACGAGCAGGTCTGCTGAGCCACTGCTAATTACTGACTGCACAACCCCAGCCCCTACTCTGGTGCTCAGGCCACTGGCCAGGTCTGCCTAGTGATGCAAAGGCTGTCATGATGCTATCAGTCTCCCTTTGGATCAGAAGTTTCTCACCAGTTTAGTGCCAGAGACCCTTTCTCAGTGTTTTTGAATGTATGCTATAAAGTACATTGGATTTCAGAGGTTTCCCAAAGGAAACCAGTGATATAAATATCCACTTTGAAAAACCAAACTTAATAGATAATAGTATGTTGTTGTTGTTGTTATGTGCTGTCGAGTTGGACCCGTATATTCTTTTAATTAAAAGGTTAAATAAAAAGTGCCTAAGGCATTTGACTGCTAACCAGAAGGCTGGCGGTTCAAACCCACCAGCCACTCCTCAGAAGGAAGGTTCCGTAATGAATACCACCTTGGAAACACAAGGAGGGGTCGCTATGAGTTGGGTCTGACTTGATGGCAGTGAGAGAAAGAGAGAGAGAGAGAGAATAGCAGGTGTAATAATTACTATAATTCTTAAGCAGTGATGAATAAATGATATTTCAAGGTATCTGCAATTGCCATAAAGTTTGTTTTTTACTGGTGTCACTATTAACAGGTACTGCTAATACTACTCTGGTGTGTTACCTGCATTTGCAAGTGAAGGAAATGCTAAATTTTCATAAGAGACAAGTCCATGGACCACCATATTGGACACTTAACTGTGTGTCAGCCTCTTCAAACATTCTTAGTTAATCCTCCTAACACTCTGTAATGAAATGGAGGCCCAGGGATGGGTATAGCCAGTAAGTGAAAGGGCTAAGACTCCAAGGCTGTGTAGCCCCAGAGTCTATACTCTGCCTGGCACTACTGCTGCCTCTCCTGTCACTGAGCCCCCACAGGCTGCCCTGCACACTGTATCTTGTGGGTCCAGAGATTTTTTTATTACCAGTTTCTTTGTGGGCCCCACCTGATGTGTGGGGCAGGGGTGGTATGTGACGGTTGTCCTGAGCCTCCCATATAGGGAGCAGGTAGGGTGTTTTAAGCACATTGTTTGGATCTCATTGACCAGTGGCATTTATTCCTGCTATGGTCCCACAACCTTAGAGGTGGAGGATTAGCTGCCCTGCTGTTCAGAGTATGATGGTTATGCTATGAGAAAGGAAGGTTATTTGGTGGGCTTAGTTCGTTCTCTTGCTCAATAAGCCTTTCCTGTGTTGCACAGACTGGAGAGATCAATCTGACCTGGTTCTAGTTCCCAAAGAGCTCATGGGCTGCCTGTCAGAGGGACTGTAATGAGGAGGCAGATAACAATGAGACACATGATAAGTGCTGTGTGACAGGGGCTGTGGACACACAGGGGTTGGGTGAGAAAACCTGGGACTAGAACACAGTCTTTGGACTCTTAGTCAATTCTCTTCTTCCCCCTCTAGGCTGCCTTAGCATCAGAGTAAGGACAACTAGGCAGGGATATCTTCCTTCCAACAAAGACCAGACCTTTAGGTGGCAGGACCTAGAGTTCAGGCCCCTGTAGTCCTTTACCCCTCAGAACAGTTAGGGGTGTGCTGGCAACTATGTCTCCAGGCTGCTCAGACCCTAGTCTGAACCCCATGGACCCTGGAGCGCCCACGTTGCCTGTAAAGGAGCTTGGACACCTCTGGAGTGTAGAGGGCTAGAGTAGCCTTTTTTTCAGACCTAAGAAGGGGGACCAGAGGCAAACTGCTGAACAGTGTGAGTGACTTTGTAAGTGACCTTAACTTCAATATAGCCATTCACCAAGTTGTCTCAAGTACTTTACAGTTTGCCTTTAGCAGGGTCTCCTAAGCTGCATATGCTTCCTGAGAGACTTGTCTTCCTCATCTGTGATGTCACATTCCTAAGCTCATCCTGGAAACCTGGCTGCCTGTCTGCTCTATGTTCTGCCCCTCCCAACATAGCTGGGCTCTATTGTGAGCTATCCTGAGAAGACGCTGGCTCAGGAGTCTAGAACAGGACTGGGCTCAGGAGGACAGGAGGCCACCATTCCCCTGTCCTCCAGGAACTCTTAGGCTTCTGGAGAATCAGTGACTGGCCCTGCCTTCTCCCTCAGGAAACCAGAGGAAGTTCAGTGTAATGAGAAGAAGAGAGGAATGAGCTCCAGAGCCAGGCAGCCCTGGAACACCCCTGACCAGCTCAGTGCCCAGCACAGAGTGGGCACACAGTAAGGGTTGGCTTCTCTCCCTCGGCAATAGACAAGAGGCCATGCTTCTCCTACCAACTGGGGGCACCTGCTGCTCCCCAGCCCCTGTACTAGATGCCAGGCGTTAAAGCATGGCTCAGTGGTTAAGTGCTTAGCCGCTAACCAAAAGATCAGCTGTTCAAATCTACCAGCCACTCCACAGAAGAAAGATGTGTCAGTTTGCTTTCATAAAAAACCTTGGAAACCCTATGGGGCAGTAAAACTATATAGGGTCACTAGGAGTTGGACTACTCGGTAGCAATGAGGTTTTTTTTTTTTAAATCTCTCAGAAGGGATGTAGGAGATCCTGGATAGAGAGGGAGAACAATGTGGAACAAAACTCAAAATCATTTGGAGAAAGAAAAAAAAAAAGGTGGGGACCAGGT